TCTGTTTTAAAGAACATTAAAAAACATAAATACAGACCTTACCTTAATATGATTATATAGCATGTATCTCAGTTCTAGAACCAACAACCTAGAGTTGTTTCCAATCAGATAAGGGATGAAGGTTTTCCATTGGCATCACTACTTTATGCAGTTCTAAATTTGTTTGCTCTAGTAGTATGTCCAAAAAAAAAAAAGTAAAATAGGTAATATACATAGCCAAAGAAGAAGTAAAATAATCATTCTTGGCAGAAGATATGATAGTAAACCTTGAAAACCTAGAGAATTAGTTAAACAATTAATGAAATATTTAGTAACTTCAGCAAATTTGAAGTATGTGAAGAAAATCCACATAAATCATAAGTTCATATTACTTATAAAATTGAGCATAAAGAGGTAGATAGAAAAATACATTTGTAATAACTGTATATTATATAAAATATTTTGGACTCTACCTACCAAGATACAGACAGGAACCATGTGAATTCAACTACAAAACACTATTATAGAAATAAAGATAGACAAATATTTGGAGAAATATTAATTGTTCATCAGTAGGCTTAGCCAATATAATAAAAATGACAAGAGAACATAAATTAATATACTTTTTCAGTCTCAAACAAATTGCTGAAATATTACCTTATAGAACTGAAAGAAAATCATCTAGAGCAATGAAAGGTCAAGAATCTTGTGGGAAATAATAAAAAACCAAAGTAGGAAAGAAGAGAACCTGGTAGAAACTGGAAGAGAATTATGGAAGAGATAAATGTCATGAACAAACATGGAGTAGAGTGCATGATAAAAGACAAGATGAACAATTTTGATTACATAAAATTTTAAAAAGGCTGTGTATAACAAATCCATTGAAGCTAAGATTAGCAGGGAAATGGTTGAATGAGGAGTGGGGCAGATTGCAGCAAGTTTTACTGATAAAATTTCACGTCCAACATATAAAAAGAACTGATTCAAATTTATAAGAACAACAAATACTCCCCAGCTGATAAATAATCAAGTTATATGGAGAGGCAAATGTTAAGGGAAGAAATGCAAGGGGTGTATGTGTATAATGATAGATACATATATATGTATGTAAGTGCAACAGGAAAAATGTTCCAAATCACTAATAATTAGAGAAATGTAAATTAAAGCAAGTCTGAGGTTTCACCTCAAAACCATGAAATTGGCACAGGTGACAAAACAGAAAAATGACAATTGTTGGAAGGGCTATGGGAAAATATGGGAAAACAATAATGTAAAATTAAATTAGTATGGCTTTGAACTGATACAGCCATTCTGTAAAAAATAAATAATAATTGGATCTACTCCCAAACACTTGCAAAGCACAAGAGGTGCTAGAAGAAATGACAAAGGACTGTTTGCCACTTCCAGCAAGAAGGGAGACAAAGGGAGAATTTTAAGTGAATTGTACAATTTGTGAATTGTTTTAGTTTTCTGCTACTGCCAGATAATTTGTCTATATTCAAATGCAGAATGGTGTCCCTCTTAGATGATAAGATAGAAAGAACAAAAAGAATAAAAAGAACTAGAAGAACAACATCAAGGGAGAAAAAAGCAAGAAGTGGAAAGAAGAAAATGGAAAAAGTGATATGGGCATAATCAGATTTAGGATTTCTAGATCACAGTTTGATTATAGGAATTATGGTTTCTATGACAGACATATGATGCAACTAACAGAAATGAATTTTTCAGGAAATGAGGCCAAGATGGTGGAATAAAGGTAGTGACTTTCCTGAGCTCTCTCCAAAACCCCTTTGAACAACTTTAAATAATGCCATAAAATAATTCCTGGAGCAGCAGTATCCACAAAAGGACAAGGTGAAATAATTTTCCAGCCAAAAACAACTTAGAAGGTCAGCAAGACTGTTGTACCAGGGTGAGAGTGGAGCACCGTCCAGTGCAGGCTGTGCCAGGACAGCCAGCAAACCAGGAGCAGGTCATGGGGGCCACTGAATCTAAAGCAACAGTAGCTACTTCTGGAGTTTCTGCCCATGGATGGTAAGGGGGCTGAAACAACTAATCAGAAGATTACAGGGGTCTCTTTGCTGGCACTGGGAGCAGGGCTTTTTTGTTTTGCCCATACTCAGATCTGAGTCACAGTCCTGGGTGGCAGTCCCAGGGCAAGGAGCAGCACTACACACCAGAACTTATGGCCTCTGTGGACTGGAGACCCTCATCACAGTTCAAAGGCAGAAAAGAGTACTTATGATCACTCACAGAAGAGTAGTAAACATTTCTCCTTAGATCATACCACCTTAGAACAACTGAAAACTTATAAGTCCATATAAGTATTTCTGAAAACAGCTGCCCAAAACCCCAAAATTTGGGTCAGTGCACCCTTCACCCTGGAAGCAGAGCCCCACTTTAACAAAGAGTTAACAGTCAAAAAAAAAGACTGGAAAAATGAGCAAATAACAAAAATATTCTGACTACAGAAAGTTGCTATGGTGACAATGAAGATCAAAACATACTCAGAAGATAACAAATTAAAGATCCCACAGCCTCCAAGAAAAATATGAATCAGTCTCAGGTCATGGAAGCGCTCAAAAAGGATTTTGAAAATCAAGTAAGAGAAGCAGAGGAAAAATTGAGAAGAGAAATGAGTGATGCAAGTAAGAAATATATCTTACTCTATGGGAAAGTAGGAAGAGAAAGAGGTAAGAGAAGGGGTGGTGATAGAAGGGAGGGCAAATTGGGGAGGTGGTAGTCAAAAGCAAAACTCTTTTGAGGGTGAAAGGAGAGAGAGAAAAGAATAAACAGAGGGTAAAATAGGATGGAGGGAAATGGAGTTAGCAATCTTACTGTGAAAAAATTTTGAAGCAAATTTCTCTGATAAAGACCTTATTTCTCAAACATGTAGAGAACTGAGTCAAATTTATAAAAATGAGAGCCTTTACCCAACTGATAAATGATCCAAAGACATGAACAATTTTCAGATAAAGTAATCAAAGCTACTGCCATATAAAAAATGCTCTAAAACATTATTGATTGGAGAAATGCAAATTAAAACAATTGTGAGGTACTACCTCGTGCCTATTAGATTGGCTAACGGAACAGAAAAAGAAAATAGCAAATGTTGGAGGGAAAAAATGAGACATTAATGCAATGTTGGTGGAGTTGTGATCTGATTCCACCATTCTGTAGGGCAATTAGGAACTATGCCCAAAGGGCAATAAAATCAGGCATATCCTTTGACCTAGTAATACCACTACTAGGTCTGTATCCAAAAAGAGATTAAAAAAAAAAAAGAAAGAAAAGAACCTCTATATATAGAGAGAGAGGTTCTTTTCTGGTGGCAAAGAATTGGAAATTGAGGGGATGCCCATTAATTGGGGTATGGCTGAACAAATTGTGGTATGTGATTGTGATAGAATATTATTATACTGTAAGAAATGATGAGCAGGATGCTCTCAGAAAAACTTAGAAAACTTACAGAAGCTGATGCAAAGTGATTTGTACTGTGTACAAAGCAACAGCAATATTGTAAGATGATCAGCTGTGAATGACTGAGCTATTCTCAGTAATACAATGATCCAAGACAACACTGAAAGATTTATGATAAAAAATTCTCTCCATCCCCAGAGAAAAAACGGATGATATCTGAATACTGATTGAAACACACTTTTTAGCTTTATTTTCTTAAGTTTTTGCCTTTTTTTTTCACAATATGACTAATATAGAAACATGTTTTGCATGGTGACACATGTATAACCTATATTGAATTGCTTGCCTTTTCGGGGGGGGGGTGGGTAGGGAACTCACAGTTTTAAAAATGAATGTTAAAAATGTTTTTATATGTAATTGGAGAAAAATAAAATACTAAACAAGATGAATCAGATAAAAAAAGAAATTAGTTTTTCTGTAAATCTTACAAATGCAGTATAAAAGACTTAAACATAAACAGGAAGAGTAGAAAGATAACTATTTGTGTATATCCACGAAGCTAGCTACCACAGGAAGTAGCCATTGGATAGGAAGAAACAGAGTAATAAGTATGCTCAGAATTTCATAAGATACAAAATCTAAATAAAGAAATGAATTGTAAAAATCCATGGCCTCAGCTGTTGATGCACAAATATATGAAGTATGGATTTCAAGCAATGAGGAACAGAGACCCTAATACAAGGAAGCAAATTTGATATTGTAGTAATCACTGAGACTAGTGGAGTGGGAATATTGATTGGAATTTAGCTCTGGAAGGATGTGAAAATGTCTGTATCCCCTTCCCCCCAATAGAATGTTAACTCCTTAAGGGCAGAGAATATTTTGGATTTTGTAATTTTATTTCAAACACAGTGGACTGAAAAAGAGTAGAATGGGGTGGGGAGATAAGGTGACTTTATACAGTAAGAAAACACACACACATGTATATGCATGTGAATAAATACGTGAAGCAGAATGGGAAAGCATCATAGTGAGAAATAGGGAGAAGTTCAATGGAAGGAAAAAAACAGAAGTATTATCTTTGGAATGCACTGTAGACAAATGGAGAGAAATTGTAAGGAGATGAGGGGTTTGCCCTCCTTCCATCTATCCTTCCTTCCATCTGTCCCTCACCATCCATAGATCTGTCTGTCTTTGTCTCTGTCTCTGTCTCTTTCTCTGTCTATGTCTTTGTCTTGCATATTTCTGTCTCTCTTTGTATCTCTGTCTCTCCATTTATCTCACCTCTCTCCTTCCCTCCATCTCTTCTTCCCTCCTTCTCTATCTCTATAAGAACAGCTAATTATTTCCTGACTTGCCTTAATGATAATTTCATAATAAAAAAAATAGAACGGGAGAATTTCTATTTTATTTTATCATGTGTTCAATTTTTCTTAAAGTAACTCCACTTACCAAGTTTTCCAAGAGAATTATTTTTATAGTGAGTATCTCACTTGTTATCCTAACATTTCAATCTTGATTTTATTCTAATAGTTCTTGTTTTCTCATTAAAGCACTGAGTTCTGATAGATGTTCTTTCACATTATTTTTCTCAGAACCTGACCTCTTCATCATCTTCACTACTTCCCAGACTTCTCTACATCATGTTGCCTGGACTCCATTCATCAAACATATCTCTCTCCCATTGAAAATTTGGACTCCACTCAGGGACATATGGCTTCCTCACCTTTTACAGCTCCCCTTTGTATGCTGTCTTCCCCCATCAGAATGTAATCTCCTTCGAGGTAGAAACTGTCTTTCTTGATTGTTTTGTATCACTAGAGCTGGCACACAGTGAACATTCCTTCCAGCACTTAGCATGGTCCCTGGGACATAGTAAGCACTTAATAAATGATTGTTGACTTTTGGCTAAATTCTCTATCTCTCTATCATCTATCCACATTAAGAGAAAAGGAAGGATAAAAAAGAGAGAGGATTGCTATTTGGAAAGGATAGTATGATGAGAGCAAATAGCAAAAAAGAAAAATGTTCAACTATAATTTTGCTTATATTTTCCCTGTCAAGGAGAAAATGTTGAAATGGAAAGGAAAGATTGCACAAGAATGGCTTACAGAAATCTGAAACCTTTTAAGATTAGTGATGATGTAATAGGAGAGCAAGGTAATAAGAGAGATACTCTAGATAAATTCAAGTCACCAGGCCCATACAAATGACATTTGTAGTACTGAAATAACTAATAGATATTATTGCTTACCTACTGCAAATTAAATTTGAAAGATGGCAAAGAGTGGGAAAAGGTGCTACAGGGGTATACCTAGAACTTAATAGGTTCTTGACAAATTTTACTATCTAATGACTGATTATTGAGTGAGTGGTGCAGTGCCAGTGTTTTATTCTGTTTGTTGATGAAATGCAGTCAGCAAACTGTAGTGAGTTAAACTTCAATTACTGCCAAAATTCTAGAATGTCGTTCCTTTTTAAAAAATATGTATTTTATTTATTTTCAGTTTTCAGCATTCACTTCCATAAGATTTTGAGTTACAAATTTTCTCCCCATCTTGCCCCTCTCCGCACCCAAGACAGAATGCATTCTGAGTATCCCTTTCCATGTTGTGGAAAACTAACTATATTTCCCTTCATCCTATCCCAACCCCCATTTATTCTATTCCCTCCTTTGACCCTGTCACTTCTCAAAAGTGTTTGCTTCTGGTTACCCTCTCCCCCAATCTGCCCTCCCTTCTATCATTCCCCCTCTCTTATGTCCTTGCCCCCTATTTTCCTGTAGGTTAAGACAGATTTCCATATGCAGTTGAATGTGTATGTTATTCCCTCCTTAAGTCAAATCCAATGAGAATAAGATTGACTCATTCCTTTCACCTTCCCCCACTTCCCCTCCACTGTAAAAGCTTTTTCTTGTCTGTTTTATGTGAGATAATTTAATCCATTCTACCTCTCCCTTTCTCCTTCTCCCAGTATAATCCTCTCTTACCCCTTAATTTTATTCTAAAGATATTACCCCTTCATCTTCAACTCACCCTGTGCCATCTATCTATCTATCTATCTATCTATCTATCTATCTATCTATCTATCTATCTATATTTTCCCCTCCAAATACTGAGAAAGGTCTCATGAGTTACCAATAGCATCTTTCCATGTAGGAATATAAGCAGTTCAACTTTAGTAAGTCCCTTATGATTTCTCTTTCGTATCATGCTTCTTTTGAGTCTTATATTTGAAAGTCAAATTTTCTATTGAGCTCTTGTCTTTTCATCAAGAATGCTTGAAAGTCCTCTATTTCACTCAATGTCCTTTTTTTTTTTTCCTGAAGGATTATACTGTTTCACTGGGTGAGTGATTCTTGGTTTTTATCCTATCTCCTTTGACTTCCAGAATATTATATTCCAAGCCCCCCAGTCCCTTAATGTAGAAGCTGCTAAATCTTGTGTTATCCTGATTGTGTTTCCACAACATTTAAAGGGAGCATGGCTGAGAAGGGTTAAGTCTGTCAATATTAGTCATCACACAACGTGACTGTTATACAATAGATTCTTAACCAACCTTCTCAATTCTACTCATTTCCCTTTCAAACTCATTCCTGACAGATTAATTCTCCAGATGCACAGATCTAATTATGTTCTCTCCCACTCAAAACCCTTCAATGGCTTCCTAAAGCCTTTTGAGTAAAATCCAAATTTAGCCTGACATTAAAAGTTGTCTACAATCTGACACTATTATAATTTTATTTATAATTATAAACAACCTAACTATATTATAATAATAATCTGACACTATTATATATGAATGGACTCAAAATAATATTTTAATCAGTCTCTGCTTATAGTTTCTCCCTACACCAATCCATCCTGCACACAACTACCAAAGTGATTTTCCTAAAGTTTAGGTCTGCCTATGTAACCTTTCCTATTTCATAAACTCCAATGATTTATTCTTACTTCTGAGTTAGCTGTAAATTCTATTTGGCATTTTAAAGTCTTTCCAGCCTCATGATACATTATACCCCTTCTCATAACCTAAGTCAAACTATTCTTCTGGCTATCCCTCATACAGAATATTCCATCTTCCATCTTTACTCTTACAAACTTGCTGCTAAATGAAGGTGAAAGAAATCACACAACTATTCTGACTGGGTCCACTGCAAATTTATGTTATACAACCTCAACTGGGCCTTCACTGTTGCTAGGCAATCCTACTAGACCTCCTGTATTAATTCACTATCCCCCTCTCTACAGTAGTTCTTCCAAACCTTTCCATCCCTCCTCAAATCTGCCAAGGCTCACATGATAAAGCAACATTACTCCTTACAAAGGCTAAATCCTCTACTTGTTCAAGCAACCCCATTCTATCCCATCTCCTCCAACAGATCCCCTCCTCTATACTCCCCACTCTTTCACTTATTTTCAATCTCTCCCTCTCTATTGGCTCATTCCCTACTGCTTACAAACATGGTGATGTTTCTGCTATCCTGAAAAAAAAATCCTGTTTTGACCCTTCCATTCCTACTAAGTTGTTTTTTTGATTCAGCCATGTCTGATTCTTCATGACCGCATGGACCATACTATCCCTTCGGAGTTTTCTTGGCAAAGATATTGGAGTGGTTTTTCATTTCTTCTCCAATATGTCCCCATTTTACAAATGAGGAATTGAGGCAAATAGGGTTTAAGTGACTTTCCCGGGGTCACACAGTAAGTGTCTGAGGTCAGATTTGAACTCAGATCCTCCTGACTCCAAGCCTGGTCCTCTATCCAATGTACCACCTGGCTGCCTAATCCCCACTTAAATATCATCTTCTATATTTTATGCCTAGTGTAGCTAAAATCCTCTAAAAGACTGTTTATAATAGGTTCCCCCACTTTCTCTCCTTTCTCTCTCTTCTTAACCCCTTACAATCTGGCTTGCAACCTTATCCTTCCACCAAAGCTGCTCCCTCCAAAGTTATCAATGATCTCTTAATTGCCTAATCCAGTGGCCTTTTCTCAATCCTCTTTGAACTTCTTGCAGCCTTTGACACAATTGATCATTCTCTTTTCCTTGATACTCTCTTTTCTCTAGGTTTTTGGGACTGCACTCTCCGCTGGTTCTCCTTCTACCTATCTAACTGCTCCTTCTCTGTCTCCTTTCCTGAATTGTCCTCTAGATCATGCCTTCTAGCAATAGGTATCCCTGGAGGTTCTGTCCTGGGCTCTCTTCTCTTCTCCCTCTTTAGTATTCCACTTGATCTCCTTTGCTCCCTAAATTTAATTACCACTCTATGTTGATGATTATCAAATCTATCTTTCCTGCCCCAGTCTCTCTGCTGAGCTCTAATCTCACATCCCCAAATGTCTTTCAGACATCTCAAACTGGATGTCTGATAGATATCTTAAACTTAATATGTCCAAAACAAAACTCATTATCTTTCTCCCTGTACCCTGCCCCCTTTCCCTATTACTTATAAAGGTCAAGACCATCCTCCCAATTCCCCAGGCCCACAACCTAGAAGACATCTTAGGTTTCTCATTATCTCTCACTCCCCACACCCAAGCTGTCACCAAAGCCTATAGTTTCACCTTTGTAATCTCTCACATATGTTCCCTTTTCTCCATACTCCCAAGGAGCTTATCTTTTACTGGATATTCCATTTTGTTGTTTGCGGTCTATATTTTACAATGGGAAGCAAAAAAGAATTCTCAAGATAGGTAAATTTACAGTGTCAAGGACAGAGTAGGTAGTTATTAAATGCCTATTTTTTGGATGAAGAAAGGTAGTTTGAGGAGGGAGAGGGTCTAACAGCTTGAGAGGCTCATTAAAGGATCCCCATAAGCTAGTAGCATTTGCTTAAAGTCCTGAAGGAAGCTTAAGATTCTGAGAAGGAAATACATTCCAGATACAAAGGTTAGCCTGAGCAAAGGTGTTGAGGTGGGAGATGCAGTGCTAAGTTAGGGAAATAACATCCCAATTTACCTGTGTCATGAAATGTAGGGAAAAGTGTAGTATGAAATAAGTCTGGGAAAGGCAGACTAGACCCAGAACTCGAAAAGTTTTAAATGACAGTGAAGAGTTTATAATGTATTTTAGAGGAAATATGACAATTCTTTAGCAGGGGGAGGACATGGGCAGACCTATGTTTTAGGAAGATTATTTGGGAAGCAATGTGGTGGGTTAGGTGAAAGACTAGAAGCTGAGAAACCAATTAGGAAGCTATTGCAATGGTCACCCTAATAGGTAATGACAGCTTGAATTAGAATGGTAGTCATGAGAATAAAGAGAAAAGACAGGAGTTAGAGAAGTGATGGAGGTAGAATCAATAATACTTAGCTATTGATTGAATAGAGACAGCTAGATGGCTTAGTGGATAGAGCACTGGACCTAGAATCAGGAGAACTTGAGTTTAAATCTGGCCTCAGACATTTGTTAGCTGTGTGACCCTGGGCAAGTCATTTAACTTCTGTTTGCCTTGGAGACAACCAGATGGCTCAATGGATAGAGTGCTGGGCCTGAGTTCAAATCCAGCCTCAGACATTTATTAGTTATGTAACCCTGGGCAAGTCACTTAACTTCTGTTTGCCCTAATTTACTGGAAAATAAGATAGCAAAGCATTTGAGTATCTTTGCCAAGAGAATTTCATTGACAGTATTGGTGTGCCATGATCCATGGGATCACAAAGGCTCAGACACAACTGATTAGATATGAAGGATGAGGAAGGATAAAAAAGTCAAGTATGACTTTGAGGTTGTGAACCTCAGTGACCAGAAGGATGGTGATTCTCTCCAAGATGTGAAGCTGTTTGGAAGAGGGGTATATTTAGAAGCGGGAAAGATGAGTTCTACTTTGAACATATTGAATTTGAAGTGACCGTAGGACATCTAGGTAAAGGTGCTTAGCAGGCATTTCCTGACCAGGGAGAGGTCCAGCTCAGGAAAGAGATTTGAGCTGAATATATAGATTTGGAAGGCATCTTTATGGAAATTATACCATAATTCCTGGCACCTGAGGGACTTCCAAGAGTGGGTGTAGAAAGAGAAAAGAAGTCACTGGCTGAGTCTTCTGAAAAACCTATAGTTCAGTCAGGAGAGAAAATATAGTCTAGAAAAGAAGACCAAGAAGGAACAGTCATACATGTAGGAGGAGGTCAGTGTCAGTAAAGTAAAAAGGCAGTGCCCAGTAGCACAAGGCAGTCAGTGCCAAAAGCTATGTAAAGATAAATAAAAAAGATAAGAAGTAAAGAAAAAAGCCGTGGGATTTATGAATTAATATATCATCTGTAACCTTAGAGAGAGCAATTTCAGTTGAGTGGTGGTCAGAAAAGTCAGCTTGCCAAGGGCTGAGAATTGATTATAGTCTCTAGAGTGTGAGCTCTTTGAGAACAGGGATTATCTTTTGACTTTCTTTGTATCTCCAACATTTAGCACTGGAAATTTCAAGCATGATATGAAGGTAGATAGTTCTAAAAACCATGCTCTGTAAGTGACATGAAAGGTACCATGCTATAGTGGCCAGAAAGCCAATCTTGGAGTCAGTAGATCTGAATTTAAATCTCAAGTGACCGTGTGATCCTGGGCAAATCACCTGACCTCTCAGTTCACCAGGTGCTCTCAAAGACCACAAAGCAAAGCAGGTCATCATCTGCATTGACAGAAGGAATTTTTCTCATTGACAATTCCCTATACCAATGAAATTACAGATGACCCCTCTCCTCAAAAAAAAAATGTAGGTGAAATAAAGCTGGTCCTTACACAGTAAAATATTAAATTGCTTTTGTGCATCTACCATGAAAGGTAATATAGATAGATCACTTAAGAGATCATCAGTGACTGTGGAAAGAAATTCTAATTTAAGATATGTGTGTACTGTACATACATACCTTTAATCAGAATATATTCTGATTTATTCTAATATATTAAATTAGAATTTCTTATATTAGAACTTCTCTCCAAAAATTATATATATATATATGTTTTATAATATATCTTATATTAGAACCTCTCTCCACAAAGTTACTCTCTCTCCACACACACACACACACACACACACACACACACACACACACACACACACACACACACACACCCTACCAGTTGTCTTGACTTATGTCTTGCCACTAGCCTCCAAAGACTCTGAGGCAGTAAAGCTGATAACTTCTTTCGCAGAGTTCTGCTTCACTTCAATCTAATTCATTTGCAAGTCAAGTATCACCCTTCTGATGTCATTGGTCCTCTTCCAAAGCAAAGGATGAACAACAAGAACACTTAGCACAGTGCCTGGCGCAGAGTAGGTACTTAAGAAGTCCTAGTTGAGGCAGCTAGATGGTACAGTGGATAGAGCACCAGCCCTAGATTCAGGAAGACCTGAGTTCCAATCTGGCCTCAGACACTTGACACTTACTAGCTGTGTGACCTGGGCAAGTCACTTTACCCCATTGCCTTGCCAAAAAGAAAAAAGAAGTCCTAGTTAACTGGCCAACTGTCCTTGGCCAGTTAGTCTAAGAACTAACCTTCTTGGAAGATAGAAAAGATATGCAAATAATTATGTTACAAAATTAATACATTACAAGTGCCTAAGAGAGGGAAAACATATTTTGTGATGTGGGAAGAGAGGAGGATTCTTGCTGTCATGGTAGATTGAGGAAGGATGCAAAAAGATGGCATTTAAACTGCGTATTAGAGAACAGAGAAGATTTCAGTAGGTAGAGACATGGCCAAAGGATATTCCGGGCAGTGGGAAGAAAAATGTACAAGGGCATGTAGGCAGGTGAACATATGAATTGTATGGCACAGAAGGTCAATATTCCAATTCCAGATGGAGGTCAGAGCACACAGAAGGATTTAGCAAACCAGCATTTAACTAATACCTATGTTTCAGACACTGTGTTAGGTGCTGAGGATGAAAAAATAATGGAAACATTGCATTCCCTTTCCTCAGGAAGCTTACATTCTATGGAGGGAGAGGACATGTTTATGTTGAAGTATATGCACATGTCTCCACCTCTTGAAATCTGTCCTGAAATCTTGGTGTCCTCTTCCACTCAGCATCGTCTCTCAAGCCCCCATATCTAATCTTTTGCCAAGGCCTGTCAGTTTTACCTTTGCAGCATCTTTTGAATCCTCTCCATTCTCTCCTCTGACCCTGCCCCCCCCACTCCAGCGCAGTCACTCATCATCTCATGCTGGGCCTATTGTAATAGCCTGCTATTGAGTCTGCCTGCCTCAAGTCTCTCCTTAACGGAATTCATCTTCCATTCAGCAGCTAAAGTGGTTTCCCTAAGATACAGGTCTCATCATGTTATTCCCCTACTCAATGAACTCCAGTGCTCCCTCTTGCCTCCAGGAGCAAACACAAAATGCTGTTTGGCATTCAAGGACCTTCACAACTCAGCCCCCTCCTCCCTTTTCAGTCCTCTTACTCCTCACTCCCAAACGTACTCTTTGATCCAATAACACTAGCCTTCTGGGATTGCTGATAGGGATTAATCCACAACTACAAGGACAATGAAAAGATTGCCTTGCAAAAGGCAGTTAAGGTTGCTCATTAAATAATTATGGATTATGATGGAGGACTATTCCACACTCTAGGGGATGCTGTATGTTATGTTTGTTTTTATTCCTTTTTAGATATTTAGAAGTTTTTTTCTTTGAGTAGTTGTCTGCATCAGTGTTATCTATGATGGGATTATGATAGTAATATCTGACAGGTATATAGTCCTTTGAACCTTACAGTAATTCTGTGAATTAGGAACCACAGGCATTATTCTCATTTTATCATAGATTTAGAAATGGAAGGGCCATCTGATATAGCACACTCATTTTACAGATGAGGAAACTGAGCCTGAGAGAAATTAAATGATTTCCTTGTAGTCTATAGCTAGTGTGTGTCAGAAGCAGGATTTTAAATCAAATTTCCCTAACTGGGGGCAGCTAGGTGGTGTAGTGGATAGAGCATTGGCCCTGGAGTCAGGAGGACCTGAGTTCAAATCTGACCTCAGACACTTATTAGCTAGTTGTCACTTAACCCCCCTTGCCTCAAAAACTAAAAAAAATTAAAATTTCCCTAATTGAAGGTCCAACAGTCTATCTACTCTGCTACCACATACAACATCTCAAAGCAATTTTGCAATAATGAATTTAAGTCATATTGAAGATCCTATTTTCCCTTGCCTGTTAAGCAACATTCAATATCATTTTATCTGCTCTTAATTTTACAGACATAATGGGAGTCTGGCACAGGTAGCTAAGATGACATCATCTATATGGAAGATACTAGAAGATACTTCTAAGAGAATTGTGGAGACTCAAGTTTCCATGGATACTTTGTTTTGATCTACCACGTCATTGAGAAGAACCTTCTTCCATTATCTATAAAGCCAAATCTGTAGGCATTTTCAAATCAGCTTACATTAGCACCAAATATGACTTTGCTGTATTTGCATCTGGGAAGTGAAATGACTCCATCACTAATGTCTGGCAAAATGATGCAGTAAGAAGGAGACTCTAAGGTCCTCTTTTCCATATGGTCTCACCAGGGCATGAGTGAAGGAATCACCATAGATGTCCCAGTCTCAGAACTGATGGTAGTTATCTGCACATGTGCCAACCACGAATTACACAGATAACAAAACTAAGACTATATGTACATGTAGGAACCATTTTTCAACCAAGATCTGAAAAACTCTAACTGATAACATAAGCAAATAAAGACCATGTAGTTTAAAATGCCCATTTTGGGCCTAGAGGAAGGCAAAGCAACATTAAGCAATAAAATGTTCATCCTAATGAAATTACTGTGTAATGAAATATACTGGAACTAAAATAAATGATTACTTAATGGTAATTTTGAGCTCCATCATTACAAAGTTATTAGAATGTATGTTAAAATCAATATGACAATGTTATATGCAATTATAGAATTGAATCCATAGAAAAGGGTGGCTAATTTTTAAGGTGAAGTTTTCAATATTTCTGAAAATAAGTATAAAGTTTAGCATGTATAGTAGAGTATAAGCCAAATTATACAAAACCAAAAGGAGGTAAAGGGAACACGTGCCAGGCACTGTGCTAAGCACTTTAAAAATATTATCTCCTTTGATTCCAAGCGGATAGGTGTTATTATTATCCCAATTTTACAGTTGAGGAAACCAAGGCAAACTTGGGTTAAGTGACTTGCCCAGGGTCACACCAGTAAGTGTCTGAGGACAGAACTGAACTCAAGGTTTGTTGATTTCAGGTCCATTGTCCTATCCATTATGCCACCTCACTTGTAAAAGAAGCTTGTATATTCTATACATGTGCTGTAAAAAAAAAAAAGCTATTTAACCCTTCTGAATTTCCACTTACTCATCAATAAAATGAAGCATTTGCCCTAGATAATCTCTGTCTATCTGTACATTTCTCCAGATAAATCACATCCACCTGCTTAACTTTTGTCAAACTACAACATGTAGTGAAAATAACACTAGACTTAGAGTCTCAAATTCCTCATCTATAAAATGGGAGTAAATTATATTTACTCTACCTTTTTGTGAAAGGAAGTATTTTAAGCCTAGAAGTGCTACATAAATTTTAACTATTATTCCACATCTAAGAGTCTACAAGTCTACAACTAACCTTGCTTTAAGAGTATGTTATTTCATAAGTCTGAGTAGTTTTCCCAATTATATCTATTATAGTTGCTTTACAATTTAGTAGATATTTTCAAGAGATGCTGTCCTTAAAAAACATATTACCGTGTGGCAACCTGGTGATGAATCTCTTTGTACATGGCTAGGCTGGTCTTCAGACAATAGACATATGGCTTGTCACCACTTGCCGATTTGACTTGATTTTCCAGAGCTTACTCTCTGTTGGCTTAACTTTTTCTATCCCTGGAGAACCTCCACACCTTGATAGAATATCAGAGATGTACTTATATGGACAATGGCTAATTTTACTACAAGCAATTCTCTGGATCCTCTCTAAACCTGTGAGTAAGCAGTCAATGACTGGGCTGACTCTCTATTCCTAATTCCATTTTTGTCCTTTTTTTGTACTTAGCCATGGATCATCTTCCTAGCTATACTGGAGAATCCATCCATACACTCTGGCTGTAGAAGACTTATGTAGTAAAGAGATTCCTCTGCTCCTCATAAGGCTCACTGTTTCAGGAAAAAAAAAACAAAAACAAAAACATGATGCAATGGAAAGATTTAGAAACAGATTTAAAATTGGAGGACTGCTTCAAATTGCATCCCATCCCCTTTTGACCTATCTGACCTTATGGAAGTCACTTTTCTTCTCTGGCTCTCAGATTCCTATAAAATGAGGAGGTAGCTGATCTCTAAGGTCCCATGTAGCTCTAAAGCCATCAACCAGTTGAGCCCTGGCCCTAGGTAAAGACAAAGAGAGGAGCTCTGGCACCCCTCACTTCAATCTAAGCCTCTTACCTTTGTGTTTCTGTATCTGTGTCCCAGGGCTTAGATGGAGCAAACCCAATTATTTCAGGGTGAGGCCTGGCATAAGAGTACCCTAGGACTACCCCTGTAATTTTCTTTTAAAAACGAATCACATCTCCAACTGATGGAGATAAAAATTCCATTGCCTCAAAATTTTCTTCAGGCTATTAACTAATCTCCTTAAACAAAAAGCATACGTTTCAGTGCTTGTTTCAAGGCTTCTGGGACATTCTTGGGCTAATTCTGATCCTAACTGCAAGGCTGAGGCCTTCTTCCTAGGTCATTAGTGAGAGTTCAGTGTGAAAGCTTTGTATTATTTCCAGTGACTGCTATAAGTGGTACAGTCATGGCATCCTATAGGTTTAGTCAATGCAAAGAGTTTCCTGCCATTTGTCATCCTGTTTCATTTATTCTGAATGTTTCTGATTTTTTGTTTTCTCTTGGTCTAATTAGAGACTCCAGATCCTCCTTAGGCTCCCAAGTTAAAGCACTTATTTTGTTACTTAGGCCGATAAGATGTTGTAGACCCTTTAACCTACAGTCAAATCCAAGTTCTCATCAGCAGACTGATTGCCCCACAGCTTGTTTCTGGATGGATGATTTTTTTCTAATGCACAATATTATGCCTAGAAATGAAAGCACAGCAGGGAGTGCAAATTCACCTGGGGAGAGTTTTAACCATTCTGTGTGGCTGCCCAAAGAGTTAATGTGACTAACAGAATGGAAATGTTTTATAGAACAACTCATAGTTTGGGGTATGGGTATGCATTTTGCATTTAATAGAAAGATTAAGTTCATGTTCAATTTTTTTTATCTCTTTCTTTTAAATTGGCTAAATCTGAAATGCTGCAGGTAACCTCTACATGACCAGAAGCTATTTCCTCTTATCCAGCTGATGAACTGTTCATTTACTGCTTAAGGTGGAAGAGGGGGAAGAAATGACATCTGTCAAAAATTTTCTGTTTAAATAAAATGACATTTTATTTGCATCAGGAATCACACAAGAGAAAATATCAAAAAGAACTAAAAAGTAGCAATGAAAGTGAAAACGTAGCTATAAAAACATCTGTGACCAGAAGAATTAGGAAACATGGAAAATGAATCAGAAATAGTTCTTTATGCCTACATTTTTAACTATTTATTCTAATTTGACAAATTTAATTTGAAGGGTAAACTTTTAAGATCACATTCATCTTAGGCAAGGATTATCTTACAATGAAGGGTTTTTTTTTTTTTTCAGTATATGACACAACTTTATCCCCCTATTAGACAAATAATTTTGTGCCCAGGAAAACACAGAGCTCCATTATTAAAATGAAGTCTTTATATTAAAAATGAAAAGACAGTGGCACAGTGGATAGAATACTGGCCCTGGAGTCAGGAGGACCTGAGTTCAAAGCCAGGCTCACACACTTAACACTTAATAGCTGGGTGACCTTGGGCAAGTCACTTAACCTCATTGCCTAGCCAAAAAAAAAAAGAAAGAAAGAAAGAAAGAAAGAAAAAATAGCATTAAGTAGCTATTAATAAGAAACACGTACATCATCTACAAGAAAAAACAGTAAAAGATGAACTGATATAATTCAAACATTGTTAACATTCTTAAGCAGGCCTGCACAACCTGCCATCCATGGGCTGTGTGCAGCAAGCCAAATGACTTCCTCTACATTTTCTTCTACATTTTTGTGGGCCACTTGAAATTCTTTCACAGGTTGCAGGTTGTGCAGGCCTGTTCTAAGGTATTTAGATATTATCAATATGCCAACTTTTGTCAATATTTTTAATAGTATTTTTCCCAGTTACATGTCAAGACAATTTTTTAGCATTCATTTTCATAAGATTTTGAGCTCTGATTTATTTCTCCCTGCCTCCTCTCCTCCCCTCTTCTGAAAATGGCAGGTAATTTGATATAGGTTATACATATGCTATCATGTAAAAGATAGCTGTGAAAGAAGAAAGATCAAAAGGGAAAAAACATGAAAAAGAACAAAGTAAATGAAAAAAAAATTCTTCTATATGCATTGAGAGTCCATCAGTTCTTTATGTGGATGTGGATAGCATTTTTCTTGATGAGTCTTTTGTGCTTGTCTTAGATAATTGTGTTACTGAGAAGAGCTGAGGCATTCATAGTTGATCATCACATGATGCTGCTGATACTGTGTCCAATGTTTTCTTGGTTCTGTCTCATTTCGCTTTGCATCAGGTCATACAAGCCTTTCCAGGTTTTGCTGAAATCCGTCTATTTATTATTTCTTACTGCACAAAAGTATTCCATTATATTCATATAATATAATCACATGACATATATTGCATATAATATAAAACTCTTGTTCAGCAATTTTGGGCATTTTCAGCCATTTCAGCCAATTGATGAGCATAACCCCAATTTCCCATTCTTGGTCACCACAAAAAGAGCTGCTTTAGATATTTTTGCACATACAGGTGCTTTTCCCTTTTTGATGATCTCTCTGGGATGCAAACCTAGCAGTGGTATTGCTGGATTAATGGATATGCACACTTTGGTTGCCCTTTGGGCATAGTTCCAAATCGCTCACCAGAATGGTTGGATCAGTTCACAACTCTACCAACAGTGCATTAGTGTCCCAATTTTCTTAATCATCTCCATCCTTATCATTTTCCTTTTTTGACATATTAGCCAATCTGACAGGTGTAAGGCGGTACCTCAATGTTGTTTTAAGTTGCATTTGTCTAATCAAGAGTGATTTAGAGCACTTCTTCATATGTCTATAGATAGCTTTGATTTCTTTATCTGAAAACTGCATGTTCATATCATTTGACCATTTATCAATTGGGGAATGGTTTATATTCTTATAAATTTGATTCATTTATCTATATACTTGAGAAATGAGGCCTTTATCAAAGATACTTGCTGTAAAGATTATTTCCCAGCTTCCTGCTTTTCTTCTAATCTTGGTTACATTGGTTTTGTTTGTATAAAAACTTTTTATTTTAATATGATCCAAATAAACTATTTTATCAAATCCGGCCTCAGACACATAACACTTACTAGCTGTGTGACCCTGGGCAAGTCACTTAACCCCATTGCCTAGCCAAAAAATAATAAAATAAAATAAAATAAAATAAAATAAAATAAAATAAAATAAAATAAAATAAAATAAAATAAAATAAAATAAAATAAAATAAACTATTTTATATTTCATAATGCTTACTATCTCTTCTTTGGTCATAAGTTTGATTTTACTTTGTCTGAGATCAGCATTTCTCCCACTGCTTTTTTTTTTTACTTCAGTTGAAGCATAGTAGATTCTGTTCCAGCCCCTACCTTTACTCTGTGTGTGTGTCTGCTTCAAGTGTGTATCTTGTAAACAACATATTGTAGGATTCTGGTTTTTGATACACTCTGCTATCTGTTTCCATTTAT